ACACACACACACACACACACACACACACACACACACACACACACACACACACACACGTGCATGCCTAATCACAAGATCATTAGCCTGGCACATTTCCTCCATCATGCTGACTGATCTAATGATTCAATTTGATGCAGACGGTGTGATTTGATTTTGCTTTATGCTGTTTGGGTTCGTTTGGATTGCTTTCTTGATGAGGTGAGACCGGAAACATGGAAGTGGGCTCGGAAGAGCACAAAAAACGGTTTGATGACTTTAGAGACGGGGTGCAAATATCAAGTTATACTCCGCAACCCTTTTGCCCTCTGTTCGAAAACAAACAAAAATATATAAATCGGGACTTTTTTGTTTAATCAGTTTGTCATCAGTCCAGAATGACATTGAAAAGTGTCGACTTTGATCAATGCTAATATAGTACATGCACTTTGGAAATAGCTTTACGACTTTGAAGGACGTAAAGCAAAGAAGGAGCCGCTGTACCACCAGAGCTAAACACACAAAGTCCAGCGGGAGGAGCGAGATTGTTCTCAATGTCAGGAAAGCAGGCGATTTAATAAAACATCACGGGAGATTAGTTCAACCAGCAGTTATTGGTTTTCTAATGGAGCAGTCTGTTAATCCCCTTCGCTCTCACTCTCCTCTCACTTCCATAAAGACATTCCAGTGACTTAGAGCCTCAGTTTTTACAAACTGCCTTCAGCGTCACGGTGACACTTTGGGGTTCGAAGAGAGACGAACTGTTGAWTTTTCCACTCCCCCCCTCATGCTAAGACAATAACCTGGCAGCTGAACTAGTGGCTGGTTTGACACGAGACAGTGAATGGAAGGATTTGTGGAAGAGAAATAAGCTTGCGCGCTCATTCACACATGCCACTTTTTTTTCCACMTGTAGGTTTTTGGACTTTAAAAGTGAGTATGTAGCTTTTTCTTTTTGCTTGTTTAAGTTTGCAAAACTAAAGTTCTGCACTCCAGCTGCTCCTGCTGCTGTTAGGTCTTACTCATTGTGACAGAGCTGACAGATGCTCAGCACTCCTCAATCAGCTCCTCTCATTATACAGCTTACTGAGTGTGTGAGCTGATGGCATTCTGCCTGACATATTCACGATGTGTTATCGTGTCACTTACTTATACTGAAAGTTTGCTCACAAGCAGCCAAATCCCATCTACCACATAAAAAAACACAAAGTCAACATCGCTAATACGACAGTTGCACAATATATAAATTTAGTTCACCACACATCTAAAAATATGTCACTTGAGAGCGAGACAACTGTGCTCTATTTTCTTTTTATAGCTGTAGCTGTGCCACTCAGCAAGTAGCTAAACAGGGCAGCTGTGCAGATCTTAGCAGCTATGCTGTGCTGAGCCTCCAGCTGTGGTCGGCTCTATGATTAAACCTATTGACCAGCAGAGAGCATGTTACTGCAAACAGTCCTAACCTGTTTGAGTGACACTTTGATCTATCCCAGGATTTATTTTTTTCCTATTCATGTCACCAGTTTTATGACATTATTCTGATCTCAGTTTATCCCATCCATTAAAAGGAGACGTGCAAAATCCACTATTTTAGCCATTAAATGCATTTTTTGGTGTACTTGGAGTCTCTAGTAGTGCAGAAAATTTTTATTTAGTTTCTCCTGGTKCTGAGTAGATATCTTTATTTTATTTTATTTCATTTTATTTTATGCATACTTTTTTTCAAGCAGTTCAGTTATCTGTATTTCTTAATGACATTTTCTGAACTATTACATCAGAGAATTTGCCACAAAACTTCGAAATAAGGTCTGAACATATCAACTACAATTTGGTTGTCTTAATCCCCTTCTCGAGCTGGGTCAGACTCTGGCTCGACCATTTAAGGCTGGATAGACAAGTCTTCCTTTTGTTGACATTTTTAATTCATTTGTAAAAAAAATGTGCCGCAAAATAATCGTAAGCCCCTATTTCAAACTACGATGGACCACTCTAGAAGCTAAAGGCGAGAGAGGTGTGAAGCACCTTGTTTGGATTTAAGGAGACAGCCTCAAAGTGACACTTCAGAAAAGGGATAAAAGAGGGGCTTGTGGAGTTACAATAAGGAGGAACTCATGTCAAAGAATCACAGTCCCACTGACTCCAACCGAATAGTATAAATGTTAAAAAGAAGGATTTAAAAGCATGAAATGTATTCTTTATGATACATCAGTGCAGTAACGTTAAGAATTTTAATTGACAATTTGTCTTTTTTAAACATTAAATCAGAAATCTTTTAAATGTGGATCTGTGGAAAGATGTTAAACAATTCCCACATAGCAGAGAGGTGTGGGCCAGATCTGGTGTCAAGCTGGCACTGCTGGCACGCCAAGTGGTTTGTCAACCAGATGTGGACCAGGAGTCGGATTTATAAAGCTTACGTACGCACAATATGAGCCCAGAAACTTGCGTACGCCACTTTTCACGCC